CTCAGGTGTGAGAAGCTCCTTCATGCACATACCAACCCCTTCCAGCCCTCCAGAGCCTGCCTGCTTGTGCTTTTGGGACTGTTGACACAGCTACACCTGCAGAGTGACAGCCCTGCACTCAGCTCTGCTGCTGCAGATGAGCAGGGATTTGCTGTCTGGACATGCCACATTCTCCTGATGGTAAGACCTGTCCAGCCTTTCCATCTGGGATTTTTGCAAAGACAAAACCTGTCTCTGGCAGGTGCCCCACAGAGCAGCCCTGCTGTTCTATTTCCAGTACAACGGTGCTCTGTTTCTCCAGGAGAGGGAGTTTGTGCTTCATCCTCTTCTCCAAGCGCTTTGCACAGCTTTAAACATAAAGAAAAAAATTCGGTAGCTGTTTTCTTATTCCTCAGAGCAGCCCTTCCTTTCCCTGGACCCTTACTATGCTCAAAGCAATGGCCACGTGTGTGAATTCTATCAGGAGTCAAAGAGAAAACGGAGTTGTGTTGAAAAGCAGCACCTATGGTATTAACAGAATCCCACAATCCTTGAGGTTGGAAAAGCCCTCCCAGCCCATCGAGTTCACCCTGTGCCCACCTTGTCCCCCAGCCCAGGGCACTGAGTGCCACGGCCAGTCCTTCCTTGGACACCTCCAGGGGTGGGGACTCCACCACCTCCCTGGGTAGCCCCTTCCAAGGCCTGACCACTCTTTCCAGGAAGAAATTCCTCCTGATGTCCAACCTGACCCTCCCCTGGCACAGCTTGAGGCCATTTTCCTCGTTCCCCGAGAGCACAGCCCGACACCCCCCCCCCCCCCCCGGCTCCTCCCTCTTGTCAGGGACTTGCAGAGAGTGAGAAGGTCCCCCCGAGCCTCCTTTTCTCCAGGCTGAGCCCCCCCAGCAGCTCCTCATCAGAATTGTGCTCCAGACCTTTCCCCAGCTTCGTTCCCTTCTCTGGCCACGCTCCGGCCCCTCAATGTCCTTTTCATCACAAGGAGCCCAGAACTGGACACAGCACTGGAGGTGCCCTAGCAGTGCCAGCACAGGGGAGCCCTCTGTAATACAGGCCTGAACCCTTCATTTATACTCACCTGGCCACCAAAGGAGACACAGGGCTGGGATGAAGACCAGGGGAAGCCATGCCAGAATATTAGTGGGAATACAGCCTATTCAATTCAAAGTGCTCCTGACAGGACACCAGCACATCTGCATTCACCCTGCTTGGGTCCAGGCAGGTTTGAGCTCATCCAAACCTCAAAGCTGGTCTTGGAGCTCCCCAGACACACAATAACCATAACAGAGCACAGTGTGCTCTTCTGGATGTTGTCTGATGCTTGGTGAAGGTCTGAGAAGCACCTCAGCCAGGCCAGTGGGCACAAAGGTGTTGAGGAACTGGTGTGAGGTGCCAGTCTGGGCCACTGAGCAAAGACAGTGGCCAGTGGCTCCAAGTCTTCTGGAAGGCTGTCCAAACACTGGCTCCTCAGCCTTGGCACCGAGTATGGAAACAGAGGGAGAGGCTGTGTGGACTGTGGTGCCCACAGGAAGAATCCCAGCTCTGGGGCTGGAGAAAGCCATCATATGTCACTCAAGCAAGGAAGGTTAGGATTGTCCAAGGGCTCTCAGGAGCAGTAACAGTGGCACTGTGCAGACATGGATCCTGTTGAAGACAACAGAGGCATCTGGGACGTGGTGGGAGGTTTTCTGTACCATCTCAGCAGTGACACTGTAACAATGGGACCCTGAGCAATGGAGTGAAGGACAGATGGGCGAGAGAAGAGTCCAGAGGAAAAATGGAACATGAGTTCAACAAGAAGCAGCGGAGAGGAACTGAAATGTCTGCAAATATGTTCCCTCCTGTATGTCAGTCACAGGGGAACAGAGCTGAGAGGGATCCTCTCCCTCCTGCAGAGCACAGGAACACCCTGTGCAGGGATGGGCAGGTGGACTCACATGCAGCCACCAGCTTCTGTCAGCTCCTTCAGCTGTGACAGTTTCCTCAGGGCAAATCCCAGGATGCAAAGGCAGGTGGCAGTGCCAAAGGAACAGAGTCCCAGAGCAGCCCCAATCCATGGAACTGTAAGATGAGGATCTGGGTTCTCCAGTGGCTGCCCAGCAGGGAAGGACCCTCCCTGGTGTGTGCTCAGACTTTGTCTTCTGCCTTCACCAAATGAGCAATCTTGGATTCTGACTGAAGAGTGAGCATAGCAGGTGATCCAAAATTCTCCAAAGTATTGTGCTGGCAACAAGAAGTTCCAGAAAAGGGCTTGGTGTGGTGCAAACACGGAATTTAGGCAAACTGACAGACTGCAGCCACGTGAACCTTTCCCACTGTGTATCTCTGTACAGTAAGACTTTCTTCAGCACCATGACCTTCCTTCCTTTCTCTTGACACAACTGTCACCCTCCAAGTGATGAGACACTGCAATGGCTGATGCCAGGCGATCCACCCATTCCCAAGTACTCCTGATCCTGAGCTGTAGCATGACCAGTGATCCCTGCAGGATGCTCTGGCTTTCCCCTCTCTGAGCTGGGCACTCCTGGGACCATCCCATCCATCCAGGTGGAGCAGAACAGGCACTCGTGGCTGGGCTCTCTACCCTGACACTCTTCTTTCCCAGTGGGGCTCCTGGGCTCCACTTGACAGGGCAGACTCCAAGCCCTCCATAGCTTCCAGGCAGGAGAGACACTTATCCCAGCACCAGGCAGTAGGAATTACCTGGGGTTCTGAGATATCAGAGCTCTGCAGACCTTGGCTGCTCTTGCAAAACTGAATCAGCCTGCAAGGCTGGGAGTATTGGCTGCCCTTTTCCTGGGGCATGGGCACAGCCACCTGCCCTCCTCACAGGTCCTGAGAAACTCCAGAACCTCCGAGTGCCCACCTGAGAGGCACCCACATCACGCAGAGGGCCCAGCAGTCTTCCAGAGAGAGAGAATATATCCAGGGCTCCCTACACTTCTTTTATTTAGCACAACCAGATTCGAAGGCTGCTTCCCTCCTCCACCCGGAGGACAGACCCTGAAGGCAGGTATTCCACAGCTCTTAGTGAACCTTCCCATTCATGTCTGACCTCACAAAATGAAAATAACAAGGTCACACTTGCATCTTAGTTTTATTACAACCGACCTGCAGGCAAAAGGATAGAATTAGTACATAAACACTGATCCATGTATAATAGCTTAAACAGAGGAGGAAGTCAAACCAGGATACCAGATAAAATATTGGGAAGCTCTTTGAAGCAGCTATGTTCCTGAGCTTCATTTTACAGACAATAAGGCAATGTCCCTGCACATCAGCTTTTTGATATTTTTTAATACATTTTTTTCTATGGTACAAGAAAAAAATAACCAGAATTCACAATGTACAGTTCTTACACTTTTTTCACAGCTTCTGAACACTATACACCTTTTTTCTTTTTTTTTTTAACAAAGATACATTGCAATCAATTGTGCACCCTTAATAATTGGTATTAATCTATGTTGAATAGGCTAAACCTGTCCTGTATGGTCACCCAGGCCACAGCACCTCAGCCCTGACTGTCACTGGCAGATCAGAGCTTTTCCTTTCCATTCCCAGCAAACTGGTCCTGCTGCTTGAGACGGGTCAGCACCAGAGCACGGGCCCAGCCCTCCCAAAAGGGCAGAGCAAGGCAGGTGCTTGTGTTCTGGGTGTGCTGGCCTTCTGAAAGGTTTCTGGGCTCAGAAACCTGTCACTGGGGAGATGCACAGTGGAGGCAGACAGAGCCTGTGCACGTGTGGCTGCCCTTGCCCCATGGGACACAGAGGGTCCATGGTCCCATTAGAGGGTGCTGAAGGCTGGAAAGAGGAATCACAGCTCCATGGGGAGTTACCTGAGAAAGGCTCTGGGTTGAGGGCAGAATCACTTCACGCACTCCATGTACGGGTTCAACTGATCCTTCCGTGGGATGCACCAGAGCTGCCAGGAATGACCAGTTACTCCAGAAAGCTCTGCCTTGTCTGTTTTGGGAAGACTTTGGTGACTGCCTCGCCTGAGGAGCAGCCCAAGAGGAACAGAGTCCAGGAAGGCCAGGACTAAGGGATCCCCAGGGCTCACACCGGCCTCGGTGCCAGTGGGAGACGTGCGGTGCTGCGAGATGTCACCTCCGTGGTGCAGGAACACCGGCTGTCCCAGGAGCATGGCCTGGCTCTCCTTTCCCAGCTGGGATGGGCTGGTCTTCGGTGCTCCCGCACCAGCCTGATTTGCACTCGGTAGCTTTGGTCTGAAGCCCTTCCTTGGGGTCCTGCCAGCACCACAGTGCCCTCACTCCCATGGCAGCCTGGGTCCAGGTTGGCTGCAGAGCTCTCACAAGAGGTTGCTCCAACACTGGTGAAGTCCTACCAAGTGCCTAAACCAGCCCAAAATGGAAAGCAGAGACCCTTGTAGCTTCCATTTTATCCCTGGTGTGCTACTCAACCTGAAAACTGCAATGTTTGGAGAAGTTTTCAGGAAAAATTAATCTTTGAAAAATACGTCAATTGAAACCAACAGAATAAAGCCTGATGTGCTGCTTCACTTAGGAATGGGCCAGAAGATGACAGCTTGCCCGGCCTTGCTGGGCCAGTTAAGAATCCTCAAGGCATTAGACACTCCCTCATCTCCTTCTGCACCCACCAGTCTCAGGGAGGTTCATTCCAGGGTGCAGCAACAGGAGTTACGGAGGGTCACAAAAGAGGTTCAGTATCCAGAAGGTGGTGGACAGTCTCCAGCAAGGTCAGCAGAGTGTGATGGGCACAGAGCCCGTGGCAGCCCAGGACACCCGTCCATCCTGCCGGCAGTGGCGAGACAGAAGAGCTGAGGTTTGGACTTGGGAGGGACACTGGGCTGGGAGGGCTGGGCCAGTGAAAAGGCAAGAGCACCAGGGCTGGGGACAGAAGGAACAAGACAAACAGTGGCCAGAACTCACAGCACACTAAAGCAGCTGCAGCCTCTGTGGACAGCACTGGGCAAAGGCAAAGCAAAGCCAGAGGGTGGTGAGCACTATAAACCAGGTCACAAGCAGGTTAAATTCAATCAAGTAGTTTAATAATTCTTCAGGTCAAAGGTCTTATCTTACCAGGTAACAATTTACAGGACACCTAGTTAAGAGTGAAGAGTGGCTGGCTTGGTAAAAGGAGGAAGAATACATTATGTCCCATCTCAATAGTTTAATGTTAGCCTCTTTCAATGCAACATATTTTTGGTAAAGACATATTCACTATATTTAACATGATCTCTCTTTAACAGGAAGTTCAGCTGAGCACACTGTCCCCAGAAAGTACACTGCGACTGTAAAGCAACAGAATTTCATAGCAGTAAATCTATTGCACTTTGTGAAGAATAAAATTCTCCTTTGCCTTCCCAGCTCCAGAAGGCAAAGCATCTCGTTGGTTAAGCAAGTTCTTCTCCCTCCAGGCAAAGTCTCTTAATGTTCAGACAGACAACGCCTAACTTTTGTTTGTTTGCTTTTTATTATTACTTGAAACAACAATTGGAAGAGTTTGAGAGAAAAATCTTTCCAGTAGCTGCTGAGAAGTTCTCCAAGTTTTGAGTCTAGAAATTAATTTTAGGTGCTATCCAATCACGGTCAACAAATAAATGTACTTATTTCCACATTTCATGAATATGTCCACAAAAGAGCAAGATGAGGTCTCTCTGTGACCAACACTAACACTGTGTGATCAGGTATTACAGGGATGCACTTTATATGTGACAACAGTATACAGACAGGATGGAAATAACACCAATATTATTGCACATGGTGTCTGGGCGAGCATTAAAAACACTGCAATATGTGATGAAAATTCTTCTTTACAGCTTGTTTCCCTCAGCCCTTTTTCTAGAGTTTGATGTAGCAGCAATATCAATCCACGTACATTGGAGAGCTGGGAGTTGCTGGCATTTGATCCAGGATTTTACAAACATAGCATGCAACATCCACTGTGCGTTCCTCATACATCAGGATGAAGGGATGTTTCTGAAATCAGATAAAAAACAAGGTTACAAGTCACCCTCCTGCCACATGCTGGCTCCCCAGATAAAAGCTGAGCAGCTGATTTTGCCTGGTGCAAGAACACAGGGCTTAGTGGTGGCCACAGAACACAGCTTGGTCTGTGGCTTTTCCACATTGGGAATCTGTCTTTAATGTGGGAGGTTAATGGAGGTAGGACAGGACTCTAGAGTGTCAGGAGCTGATAGGAGAGACAGGGAGTGGCTTGTGGAAGTCAAACCCAAGCCCTGCTCTCCTGAACCCTGACTCTCAGCTCTGCCCAGGAGGCTGCACTGGCCAGACCCAGCTCAGAGCAGCTGGTTTGTAATGTCAGGGTGGCCCTGGGCCGGGACACCAGGCAAACCCCTTTCACAGCCCTGCAGGGACCCTGATCTGATGCCACAGGGCACCTTCCCCTGCTGATCTCTCGCCTTGCTGGACAGACACCCATGGCAGTGGCATGGAGGTGGTGCTCCTCCTCCAGCCCTGGAGCTGAACACCCTGCCAGGATGGCCAGAGGAGGGGACGTGTGTCCCAGCCCCGCTGTGTGACTGCAGAGCCACCCCAGCTCAGATACACTGTGCACTCACCAGAAGCTCTTTGTACTTTGGCCTTTTGGACTCGTCCTTTGTAAGGCTAAAGAAAGCAGAAAGAGAATTAGGAGAAGGTGGGATGGGGGAAAATGTTACAGACATCAAAATACAGATTTTTACAGGACATGATGCTGAGCCCACTGCTGTCCAGGGGGACTCACTGCCTGTGGTTTCCTGGAAAATCCATCCTTGCACTGTGAGTGACCACAGGAGCTGCCTCCCTCCCTCACAGCCATCCCAGCTGTGTGGGCAAGGGCCAGCGAGTGGCACCAAAGGCCACCAAAGCCCTGTCCCAGGGGACATGGTGGAGAGAGGGGATGGACTGGGCGACACTGACACCACAGCCCCTGCCCCAGGAGCCAGAGCTGCACCACTGAGAAGAGAATGGGTGGATATGGCACCTTTCCCAAACAAAGGGAGTCACTCTAATTCCCAACAGCTGCATTTCCATCCCCAGGAGCTCTGGCTGGGCCTTTCTCCATCTCCAGCACCACCACAGTGTGGCCTCCACCCCATGGAGCAGCTGAGGGTCACCAGCACTGCCCTGCCAACAGAGCCTGTGGGGCAGAGGGGGCACAAACCCGGTGACTGGTCCCACACACCCCTCTCCAGGCTTCTGCCACCCCAGAGCAATTCCCTGCCTGACCCCATCAAGGCTCTCTGGGGGCTCCAATCTGCTCCTGCAACACCTGTAAGGCAACAAAGCAAAACTTGAGCTCACAGACCGAGCTTTGCTCTGAAATGTCCACACACCCTTTCCTAAAGCACTCTGAGAAATCCCTCATTCCTTTCCCAGCTCAATGTGAAGCTGCTTGCCTGGGGTGGCCACTGGCAGCACCAGGAGCCACACACTACTGCACAGGAACTCTAGTTCCAAGGATCCTGATCCTCAGGAGCTCAGGGCTCCATAGCTGCTGAAGCCAAGCACAGACTGGAGACTTCAGAGCAGAAAATTGAACTGCTGTAGGAAGCAGTTCCAGGAGTGGGACTCCAGATAAGCCTCTAATTCAGGAAGTTGGGCTGAAGGGGAAAAATGTTCCACCTAGGCATTCACAGTGCTGAAAGAAATATCAGGAACTCTTTAACACTGAAATGTTCAATAAATGTTTCTTGCCCAGAGAAGCCCCATCCCTGGGAGTGTTCAAGCCGAGGTTGGACAGGGCTTGGAGCAACCTGGTCCAGTGGAAGGTGTCCCTGCCTGTGGCAGGCAGTGAAACCGGGTGAGCTTTAAGATCTCTTCCAACCAAATCCATTCTGTGATTCCATGATTCTATGACAATATCCTTTCCTCACTGATCTATCCTAGCAGTGATACTGCAGGACTCTCTTTCGACATTTTTCCTAACTCTTGAATGCACAAACCCAGAAGACTCTTAGATGCACATCTGTGGGATGTTTATGCCATCACCCACCACACAGCCTTTGGGAACCTGACCTGCCAGCTTAGTAACCCCACAGATCACTGTTCGCACCGAACTAAAGGTTATTACGAGAAATATTTATTGCAGTGTTGCTATGAAGACCCCATAAATACTCCAGGCAGAAGTCAGATTATTTACAAAACCAGGTTAAACAAACCCAGAATCAGGCTGAAATCTGCCCCGGGCTCTGTGTGCTGTGTCTGATCCGGAGTAGCGGCCCCAGGAAGGGGAAAGGGGGTGGAAATACAAACTGACCTGATAAGCCTGGAGAACAGAAGGCTCTGAGGAGACCATAGAGCCCCCCTCCAGGGTCTAAAGGAGACCTACAGCAAGGCTGGAGAGGGACTTTTTACAAGGGCAGGAAGTGACAGGACAAGGGGGATAGTAGTTTTATTAGTTTATTAGGAAGAAATTCTTGGCTGTGAGGCTGGTAGAGCCCTGGCACAGGTTGCCCAGAGAAGCTGTGGCTGCCCCATCCCTGGAAGTGTCCAAGGCCAGGTTGGATGGGGCTTGGAGCAGCCTGGGCTAGTGGAAGGTGTCCCTGCCCATGGCAGGCGCTTGGAATGGGGTGGCCTTTAAGGCCCCTTCCAACCCAAACCATGGTTCTGCATCCAAAGACATGGCTGTTTAATGGAGATGCTGCACAGGCTCCTCTGCTGGATGATTTGGAGCCAAACTCACAGGGCACCACAGCAAGTTCCTGGCTTTGCAAAGTCTGATGATATGGCATCTCCATGGAGAACTATGTGGAAACACACCAGTGCTTGTTTTGTACATGAGGAAAGCAATTCTGACCTTTCTAAGCAAATGCTACAGTTGCAGTTTCAGTTTTGACTGAAAAATAGAAACTTCTGAGCAACAAACCATCTTGATGCTTGATTTTCTGCATCCCCAAAACAATAACCAGGCCTTCCTCACAGGGGGCTGGCCTCCTTAAAAATTTGTAATTCTGAACTAGACTACAATCCAAACCCAAAAATCATCTCCAGAGGATGGAAAGTTCTGAAACAAAACCTCTTGAAAGTTGAAATTGTCTAGTGCTGAGCCTTCCTGTGTCACAGAGCTTTGAGGTGGCCACCCCTGTGCTGGGGATGTCTATCACCTGGTCTGCTCAAGGCAGAAGGTCCCAGAAGACAAATGCAGGTCACACTGATGGATCTCACCTGTGCTTTGGTTAACAAAATTATATTGACCACCTTTCTCATTTAGATAGAAAAATGCTTCACCAGAAAATTCCTAATCAGCCCTTACCCTAAGCAGGACCCCACAGCTCTGGCAGGTGGGGAGACTCCCCAGGCTCCCCTTAGCAGCACCACAGATCCTCCACACAGGGCTGCAGAGGCCCTGCCTGCAGAAAACCATCTCCAGTCTTGATCTCAACATTCAATTCACACAAGGCATGAAGCCAACAACCCAGCAAGCCACAGCCACAGGTCCTGGCAGTCACTGTGCTGAGCCCAGTCCAAGAAGTGGGCAGGAAGGCTCCCAGCCTTGCCAGGCAAAGGCAGGACAGTACAGATCCTCTTTGCCCAATCACAGGACAACGCTGCCCAGTGTCTCTGGCTTCAAACTGCAGAAGAAAGGGCAAACAGCAGGTCTGTCCCAAGGCTCTGTGACAACAAGGAACAGAATGCACAGGCTAGGCCCCTATCTGCTCACACAAACCTCCTACCATGGGTCTTACCATGCCTCTCCCTAGCACAGCCACTCAGAGGTTTTCTCCTCACCCCCTCCCTGAAGAGCAGTTTCCAATGTCTGCCCTTCAGCTGCCACCTGGAAAAGTCCCCCATCACCTACAAACCACTGAAATGTGAGAGGTCCTTACCCTCATGCTGGTGCAGGAACATGAAAAAAAGCCAGGAGGTGCTGGGCACATGACCCTTGTCAAATACTCAGCAGTGACAAAACAAGCCCAAGTGCTTTCAGCAGGACACACTTACCACAAGTTGACGAAGTTGATGAAACTGGGGGAGAACTCCCTTTCCTCTGAGTTGCTCAGCTGCGGTGGGTCTCCTTTCACTACTTGTGTCAACTGGTCAAACACACTGTTCCACTTGGGGTAAGGGAACCGCCCCGTGGCCAGCTCGTACTGCAGGGAGACAGCAACAGCACCAGGCAGGTTTACGTGAGGTAAGTTCAGTCAGGGCAACAGAATGTCTGCAAGGAAACTGAACCCCTCAAAAGGAAGGCTGAGATGAGATTCTTCATCCTGTTCCCTGTATGGTTCTAAGAGGAGGGAAGGTTTCACCCAGCAGTAAATGCTGCCTGTGTGAGGAGCACGGCCAGATTTAGCCTGGCCAGGCCATGCCTCCACATCTGCCACTGACTGTACAACAAACCAGTGTAGGAGAGTAAAATCCTCCAAGCATCCTAACAACTACCAGAGAAAAGGAATAATGAGAATCATACAATCATAGGATATATTAAGCTGGAGAGGACTCACATGGATCACCAAGTCCAACTCCCTGCTCCTCACAGGACAATGGAAATGAGCATTTTAAAACATCAGTGGGGAAGACAGAAGCTACTAGTTCATAAGTTATTGCTTCTGCTTTCTCTTCCGCTTCACCACCTGGAGAAGGTAAAAGTTTCTCACTGCATCAGTGTGTGCATCTTGCAGTGCTGTGGTTAAGCCAGTGAGGAATCAGAATACCAGAATCCAGGATTAAACAAAGTCTCTGTGCAGCCAAAGTACAGCAGCTGCCAGGGCTGTCAGAGGCTTATTCCCACAGGCTGGGTGTTCTGCCCTGCACCACCACACTCACCATCCCTCCTCAGCTCAGACTTTGAACACAAAACTCATTTACAATCCAACACCTCTTCCCTGCTCACATCTTGCTCTCTGCAAAATACAGCTGCAGCCAAAGGTATCTGCAGGGGTTCAGGAGAACCATCTGCCTGGATGGGATTTAGACTGTTCCTGACCCAGGAAGTGCCCATTTCAATCACAACATGCAAACATGTTGGGCTGGGCTTGCAGCTGGGCTGGGCTTCCCATGTGTGATACCATCCCACTGCAAAGGGCACCAAGGCTCCCCACCAGGAAAGGGGTCAAATCCCCACTTACCAATGTAATCCCCAAGCTCCAGACATCTGAGCGGACGTCGTAGCCTTGCCTGGAGGCGCTGGGATCTATCCTTTCCGGCTGAAACGGGAAGAAGGTTCAGTCAAGCACTGTGCCATGCAGGAAGCAACAAGAAGCATCTGCAAACTTATCAGAAACTCTGAGTCTGTCCCACCAAGGCAGAGACTGGCACAGCTCCAGAGGCAAACTTTTGGCCAGGGCAGACCTTCAACCCCAGCAGAGAAATGTCTTAAGGAATCGCTTAAAACACTGACTTTATGGAGGTGTAGTGGAAGAGGTGATGGGAAATGGCCATTTATCACAGTCTAATCTTTTGGTTGTTTTCTTTTCCTTTTGCACAAGCACCTTGAATAATGGTGACTGTCTATTTATTTAGTTTTGTTCAACTCTGGGATTTCTTTAACACGAAGTCTCTGTTTTCACAGCCAAGTTGTTCCCAAGGGATCATAAGGCTTGGAATCAACATCTCATCCACCATCCCGAGGCTTAGCAGCATCTACCGAACTCTTCTCCCCAGCTGGCTGCTGATTGCCGAATCTCAACAGGTAATAAAAACAGTGCATTTTAAGAACAGCTCCTCTTTACAAGGTTTGGTCATCCCTTGAAAGCAACTATGATATTACAAGGTCTTCAGATATCCAAAATATCTTCAATAGAAAACAATATTTAGCCAGACATGGGAGGTTTGCACCTAAAAAGCAAGTTATCCAGAGAGGATAACAGCAAAAAAAAATCTTTATGCCTTGCATGTCAACTTATGAGAAACATCAGTCTGCCTTCTTTAGTAAAAAATATAATAATTAAAACATCAAAAGAAACAGGGTCTCATTCAGTTTTGGCTACAACAATAATAAAGATACCCAAGTTGCAATAAATTCTAAATTATGAGGTACAGGACTCTGAAAGCTCCGGCTGCTTTGTAAGCTACATTTTACTACAATGTCATGGCAGATGCAGCTGAAGAGTGCCATGCAATGAACCAAGTCCTTCAGTGCAACCTCCACACTCCAGTGAGCAGACAACTTACTGTCAACTCACCACATGAACAGACACCTCCCAGATCCCATGGGAATGCCTCATGGCATTCCTGACTGCTCTGCCATGCTGCCAGCAATCCTCTTTGCAGCCCACCACCCACATGTGGCTGCCCCTGCTGTGACCGCTGCCAGACCTCTCCCTTTCCCTCAGCTACCAGCACCTTCTCCAAGGAAACTTGCCCAGGCCATGCACGCCCACAGCCCCAGAGAAGGTTCTGCCAAGCTGCAGTGGTTCTGCAGGTGGCTTCTCCTACAGCCTCCCTGTGTCCACTGCTCTTCAGTACCTGGGATATCACCTTCGCAGGGCCAGTGATATGTTTTGTCATACTCACTTTCAGTTACAGTATCTGCTTTGAACCAGGCTGGCTTCCAGGGCCATACCCAGAACATCCTGCCCATCCCACCCTCCAAGCTCTGCCCTTTGCTGTTTTTTTCTTTGGTTGTGGTTTCCATTCAGCTTAAGCTCATACATTAGTTATTCCTCTCATGACTTGGATGGATGTTCCAATACTTCTGGTGGGAGGGCAAAATAATAAAATCACTAAAATTCAACTCTCTTAAAACAACCATCAGCCCTTCATATGCTCGTCTTGTAGCTAGTCAAAACCTATCATGTCTGCACTGCAGGTACCCCCGTGCTGCTGCCTCCTCACAGCCAACTCCGGCCTTCCCTCAGAGTCCAGGCTTCTCATACTGGGTACAATAGAATGCCAGACAGCTGAGAAGGGATCAAGAGCTAACAGAGCATCCATTGCTTTAAATACAGGGAACAGAAATGCAATGACAACTTTGAGGATCTGAATGGAAAATGTGCATTCCCAGTCCCTGCTTATTTGAGGGGAGGATGGTTTGATAAGCAGCAAACACTCAGCATGCAGATATATTTAGATGTTTCAGGAGGTCACTGGATATCTCAGTAAGAAGCAAAATATCTCAGGGAGTAGCCCATGGGTGAGCACTGGGTCGTACTCTGGCTCAGGAAGGACAAAAGGAGCTCAGACTTACAAATCAAAGCTGTCCTCTGAGGTAACACACAGAATAACATCACCTCATGGGTACAAAAAAAGTCAAAATGCTCTCAGCAATGTGTTTCTGTGAACAGCCCAAAAGGTCAAAGAGAAACCAAACAGAAGATGCCAGCAGTAGGGAGCTGGATAGAAGAACATGGCATCAATAATTGACCGGCACTGGACGTGGCCTGGCAGGCACTTCCCTGTCCCCGTCACAGGCTGAAAAGCAGCTTCCAGGGACTGTCATCACAAGTGATGCTGTGGCCACCACGCTCTGTTTCAATGCCACAGGCAGTGTGATGGACCTGCAACCCCCAGCAGCCTTCTTTGCCTATGACCCCACACAGCCCCTCCAGCATTCCTGGAATTCAGGGCCCAGAACAGCCAGGCTCCACCAGCCCAAGGGCTCTCCCAGAACTGCTCTGCTGTGCCTGCAGCCCTGTAACACCCTGGCTTCCCTCGGAGCAGAGCTCTCACCTCCAATCCCTCCTGCCAGGCACCAGGGGCTCCTCCTGCCTTCCTGGCTCCAGCAGCAACAGTGGGTGTGAGACACACGGAGCTATCCCTTCCCTGTCCCTCAGGCACAACAGTGTGGCCAGCTGGCCAAGGCAGGGGATTGTCCCACTCCTTCTTGCTCTGCCCCCTCATGTGAGACCCCACCTGCAGAGCTGCCTCTAGCCCTGGAGTCCCCAGCACAGGAGGGACATGGAGCTGCTGGAGTGAGTCCAGAGAAGGACAAAAAATGATCCAAGGGCTGGAGCCCCTGTGCTATGGAACACGCTGAGAGAGCTGAGGGTGTTCAGCCTAGAGGACAGAAGGCTCTGGGGAGACCTTACTCTGGCCTTTCAATATATAAAGGGGGCTTATAAGAAAGACAAAAAGACTTGTTACCAGGGCCTGGAGTGACAGGACAAGGGTGATGGTTTTACACTGAAGGAGAGTAGATTCAGATTAGATTTAAGGAAGAAATTACTTACAATGAAGGTATTGAGACTCTGGCACAGGTTGCCCAGACAAGCTGTGGCTGCCTCATCCCTGGAATTGTTCAAGGCCAGGTCAGATCAGGCTTGGAGCAGTCTGGTCTAGTGAGTAGCAGGGCTGGACCAGGTAATCTCTGAAATCCAAACCTATGGGTTCTATGGTTCTGTCAATGCTCCCTGTGCTGCAGGACACTATGAACCACTGTCCCCACCATGTGAAGCACCTCTCTGGGCTCATGGCCACTGCCCATAAGCATTTTGTCAACAGAAGATGGATTCCACAGCTGGCAGGTACCTTGCCACCAAGCAAATCAGAGTCACCTTGTAGGAAAACAAGGACCTCCCTGTGACCAAGGACCATACCCCATGTGACAGACACTGGTGTGTGGGAATGGCGGCGGGTGGCCCTGCCCTGAGCGCGGCTGGGGACACATCACCATGTCTAGAGGCTGCCACCAGGGACCAGCCAGCACAGGGCCACACCACATTATGGGGAGGCTGGCCCTGCCAGTGCTGGGACCCCCCACACCACAGATCCACAGCACAGATCCACAGTAGAGCAGTTCCAAGCTGCAGACGAAGGACTCACTCTCCACATAGCACAGTGAAGGAGGGGACTGCACAGAAAACAACCATTCTGGGCAGGGCCCAACTGCTCAAAGGGACTGGTGGGATGGGTGGCACTGGTGAGACAGAGCTGGTTGTCTCAGGCACCAATGAGGGGCAGCCTTCTACTTCCACTGAGCAGAGCACTGGGGACGTGGCCCTAGACCATGGTGGCACAGTTAGAGGGAAAGGAGGATAGACCAAAGTAAATCCCATCTAAATGGGAAGCAGGAAGTAGATGACATGGGAGCAACTAACACCAACTAAGGAAGAGTCACCATGTGAACTCTGGGGACCTGGAGTGAGGGCTGCACACAAAGCCTGGCTCAGGCCAGGTGTCCTGCAGGAAAGGAAATAGCTGAGGTGAAGACCCACCTCTGGACTGTGCTGATGGGGTGAAGGGGCAGAGTATGGATGCATCAGAGAAGGGTACAGGCTGCCATGGGACTTCTCTCTGGTTCAGTGTTCACCTGGGCACCAGCATTTTGACCGAAAAATGAGCAGTGAGCAGCACAGATCCTCACTGCCCTCCAAACCCCAGGTAAGCAAACACACGTGGTTCAGGTTATCCTCCCTCTTCTCCAAGACCCAGCTACACAAACACCTGCAGCTTGGGCTGAGACACAAGGACAGATGCACACAGGACTCCCTGTACTCCTGAGCTGCTTCATGTAGCTAAAGAGTAAAGTTGCATTTCTTAGAAAACCCAATTCTTGAAGCTCAGATCTGGGTTTTCACTGGTTATGTAATCAGGGAATTTTATCCCACATGCACCACAAATTCAAAACTACCTCCACAGCAATAAAAAGTACACAACAAACTTCTTTTCTACTTAGGTCAATGCATCCCTAAACTAAAAGGAAGTAAAAGGTTACCAGGAGCAAAGAATGACCAGAAAGTGCTGTATTTTTGCAATACAAAAAGCAGAAAAATTCTACATGATACAAACTCTCCCTCTGCTCCAACCCAGGAACAGAGAGATGTGAAATGGAAGCTGCCAGCCTGCCACGAAGACTAACTTCTCACACTGAAACACGTGTAAAATGAAGTCCAGGGTGCTGCAGCAGCAATGGGAACCATCCTTTGGACCATCAATAACTGGTTTGGGAAGTTCTTCTGTTCAGTAAGGAGAACATTGTCACTCACTTTTCACATTGCTGTATTTCTCGAGAATATTCGTACAGCAAAAAGCAAGTTGTTCTTCCTTCAGGGCTGTCCCCCCACATCTCCCCTCACCTGCTCACTAAGACCTCAAAATGTTTTTACTCCTGTGAGCCCCCTCCCTGACTGCCCTGCTGGGCTGGGCTGGCAGTTCAGACTCTGTAAGGCGGAATAAGAGCCTGAGTGCTCACCTGGCCAGGAGATGCTCACACCAGCCCTCCATCTCCCAGAAGATCACAGAACGGTTTTGGTTGGAAGAGACCTTA